AAGAAGCCATCGCCATGCTTCCAATGGGCGAACGGTAGCATATAATTAGCTACCGTGTCGCAGTAGGCAAACGAGTCTTTACGGTCTTGCAGTACAGCAAGCGACGTACGTCCTTGGGAGGAAAATCATCCCACACCATGACGCTTCCACCGCCATTTTGGCGACTCATGAACGACTGTTCATCTTTTCGGAGATCATGCTAGTAAAATTGGAGCCCATCGGGGTCATCCAAATGGAATTTCTTTTCATCCGAAAAGTTTACAGTCGCTCATTTGTCGCCAAAATCGACGTGGTCTTTGGCCCACTTGACTATTGCTTCCTTGTGCGCCTTCGTCAGCCGTGGTGTAGCCTTGCGCTTCTTGTAATGGAAATGCTCAGAGCGTTTTAAAACGCGGCGAATCGTGCGTGGAGACACGTCCAGTTGGAGGTCATGTTGGATCCTTGATGAGCTGCTCCGACCCTCGGAAACAACACGGATGACTCGGCGAACGTCTCTGTCAGTCAGCCAACTTTCTCGGTCTGCCAGGTATGGTAGACGTCCCATACGTGGCAGAGTTCTTGAGAGAGTTGGCGACAGTTCCATTCGCCAAGAAAAGCTCCTTTGCTATGCCTCGAATCGACCAATTCGCCTTGAGAAAAGCCAAAATGGCTCCTTGTTCTTCTGGTGTCAATCGTTCGCCTTGGGTCATCTATTTAATATGTTCTAGTTAACTCTCTTGGTGCAGCATTAAATCAGCTATTCAATGATACCTTTGGTTGTGTCTTTATAAGCGTAATGTGCTTTGAAACTCGATATACAATGGCTGTACCGATGTTTCTTGACCAGGTTCAAAACCAACCATTTGATGTTTTTCGCGCCATTTTCAGTGAGTACACACTTTGGGACAAATCGGGTGGATTCAGTCGATCCGCCATTTTCACTGGATTAAAACAGGTATTAAAGCGTTCTGATAGGATGAAAACCAATAGTGCTGTGACTCAGAATCCCATGTGCCGAACCTTTATGTCCAGCACTGTAAGGGCTCATATGAAACAAGTCGCACAGCAATCTACCCCCACCGTCCTACTCCCTCAGTTCCATAATATGTGCGCGAATTTGTGGAGGTTAGGCATGACGCGCCATCAAGTATAGACGAAATTTTGAATCCGAAGTGTCACCTACCTGGAGTCGAAATAGTTCGTGTAGATTGGCTCTTCACATATGGGCTCTCAGTTGATGTGTTAACGAGGGGAAGTTGTCGAGTGCTGTGGCCTTTCCCACGTTCCAAAACTCCATACTATATTTCATATAAAACGTTCACTTCAAACAGCAAACGTTCTAAATATGCCAATTGAAAGGCGCAACCTGACCGACGTCGAGCTCGAAGCCATCCTCCGCGAGGTGTTACTCCACCGCAACGGTAGCTACAAGGCTAGACTGCCAAATGGATTAAGCCAAATCCTTGTGGACAAGTACAAATGCCACGTTGCCACCATCGGCGGGTCCTTGCGGAAGCGAAGAAGCAAGTTGCTGTCAAGACAACATAAAAGTCGATGTTGAAGAAAGGTAGAGTTGGCAGAAAGAAGGCGTTCACCGCTGAAGAAGTGAAAACAAAGCTCCTGCAAGTATCGCAATCCCAACGAACTACTACACTTCATTCCATTTCCTTAAAGCAGATGAATTTTGACCGCAGAAGAATTTTAGTACTACGTAGTAACATTTTCCCATGGGGATAAGTCTCGGGACGCTGCAAGATACCTCAAGCTTAGTTTGTTTCGGTCCCATTCCAGGGCAATCAAGCCATTTTTGACTGACTGTACAGCAGAATGAAAATCTATCATACCTTCTTGGTCGACATGGTGCTTCCTGCAATAGTAACCAAGTGGCTAGGTGGCCACCGTGTGGTGAAGTTGTAACACGACAATGCCCATGTAATCCCGTCCAACGCGCTGCTGGACAAAGCCATGCCTAAGTACAATTCTCTTGGAAGGACGATATCACTTACACAACAACCGTCGAATTACCCCGACACCAACGTGTTTGACTTGGTTTTCTTCTCAGCCATCCAGCCCCTACAACACCGCAAGTCTGCACGCAGCATTGACAAACTGGTTGCTCATGTTGAAGATGCCTTCACCGCTTACACGTACGAGTCACTGAACCACACGTACATGTCCTTGCAAGCGTTCCTGGTTGAGACGAGTGTTTTCGGAGACAATGTCTGCACGTTGCCTCACATCGCCCAAGAGAAGCAAGAGCTCAAGGGTCTGTTACCTCAGCATGTGTCGTCCCCACGGTATGTTTTCGACGCCGCGAATGCAAGGTTGACCAAAATGGCATTGGACGAGTTGGATCTGTTGAGCCCCATCGGCGTGAAATATTTGATTCACAAATCAAATATCGCCTTTAGGCCACGTCTTACATAAAGTCAATTTGGTAAAAACTCGACAGAGTGGTACTCGAATAAAATTGAGCATCCGATGAGCAATGCCGATTCGGCTAAATATAGTCACAATTACATTTCACGCAGTGAAATTATCCATTCACTGCGTGAATGGATAAATACCCATTGAATTTTAATGCTATGTGATTGGTCGATTCGAAAATCCCTCGCATTTTGAACTTTGATGCCAACACCAGTCCTCCCGCAGCGCGTCCAGCGGCGATATAGCATCGACACTCGCGTAAAGCTGATGATTGCTTATGCGAACTCGACGCTTTCTGTGAGTTCATTAACCATTTTCTACCCCGACGAGTTCCATCGGTCGCACAACAAGCCACACGAAGGAAGGACTCACACGAAGGAAGGACGCACCTCCATGTCGTCGTCGGTGCGAGGGGACGAGAGAACCACCACCCAACACACTCGTCTCGCTGTTCCCGCCGCACAATGGCATCACAATGCGCTTGCCCTACGAGGACACACCCGCGCTCTCGTGAGCAATCGTCGCACATGAATTCGTCAATTCCTGGGCTGGCGTGCACACTGCACGAAGCGTACCCGAAGATCCGGCAACTTGTCGATTATAGCGGCGAGCGACGTCGCGCCACCCCCTTCGACGAATTTTACCAGCTCACACAAACGCAGGACACTCAGCGCAATTGGTTTTTCCGACACGGTCACCATGATGTCGATCAACGGCGCGGGGACTTCAAACGCATTCTCGCCGACTTTCGGGCCGCCAAACCATCGGCAAGGGTCGGTTTGGTGTTGGTGTCCACGGGACACCCGGTGGCAAGCGCTGCCGTGAAACTGGCGCAGTTTTCAGGTTCCACACCCTACCACGACGACTGAGCTGCGTTCGGAAGGCGCGTGTGTGTCTGCTAGACGTACAATTACTTGAATTGAAGGGTTGAGAGTCTTGACGGCAAGTGCAATGCCGGTAATGAGGCCCCCGCCACAGACGGGAACGATGATCACGTCGGTCTTGGGCACCTGGTTCAAGATCTCGATCCCCATCGTTCCGGCGCCGGCAATAATGTTTGGGTGGTCGAACCCGTTGATGTATACTGTACCAAGTCCTACCACAACAAGGTGGGCGAGAGAGATATGAGGTCGTGGTAGTACTTCGGTATCGACGATTTCATCGGCCTTGATCTTGGCTTCGAGGATGTGCGCGCCGTGCAGAATCACGCAGAGCTCTTGGCACCTCATCACGTTCATAAAGAATCACTACATTGATTGGTTTATGATTACTTGACTACGACGACATCCAAACGTCGAGCTTACCACAGCCTGCTTCGACTGTGTCAACGATTCTCCGCCCGCTACCGGTTTTTACAGCAACAACCGTGCTTCAAGAATGTCCCTCAAGCGTTTCTTGCCGAGACCAAGGCGAAATTTGCTGCTGCATATTGGGACAATTTTATGTCACTGCGCCGAGTAACAATATCAACGTGAATAAACATCTGTTTGCTACGGCATGCCCCCGACAAAGACTATTGCCAAAGTAGGAGGATCGTCCAATGTTTACAAGAGCCAAAACCACTCCGACAGGATTACAGCCATCCACTCCGTGCATTCCAATGACGAAAAGCTACCAATTCATTTCATCTTGAAGGGCATGCCAGGTGGGCCGATCGATATCTTCGAAGTGCCGATACTTCCACCTGGTTTTTTTGCGTCGCGCAAGAGAAAGCGTGGATGGATACAAGAGTATGAGAACTTTATCCGATTGAGCTGCTCAAGATCGCAATTGATGGTCTTTCTGTGATTTTGGCTGACAATCTTGACTGTCATGTGTCTATGGCTTCGCATGAAATGGTGTTGTCTGAAAAGTTTAGCGTTTAGGAACCATTGCCCAAGAATTCGACAAGTGGTCCCCAACCTTAGGATGTTAGTGTCATGGGACCATTGAAGAGCAAGCTTCGTTACAAGTAACTTCGCGAAAAGCCGGTTGTGTCTGCAGCCGAAAAACGCATCGCTATGGTTAAGCGCACAATCGAAGCCTGGGAGGGCATGCAATGTGAAATCATCACTCGCTCATTGGAAAATGCGCTGCCACGGATTCCAGTATTGTAGCTTTCAATTGAAAATTTGTTTCATTTTCGAAATATTTGAAGTTTTCAAGTTGTCGTAATATTTGGTGGTCGTCTTGGTCGGGCTAAGTATGTAGTGGTCTCATTTCGATTAATCTTCGTGGATATGGTCCTTCAATTCGACAACAGCTTGAATAATAATACCGTCATTCTCTTCGAGGGTAATTTTATTGCCAATACAAATTTCAATATAATTTTCTCGTAACACTGGGGAAATTTTTCCGTCGCTCACTGTACCAAATATCATTTCTCTATGATTGGTAGATATGATCTGACAGTAGATGGGTAGCCTTCGAATCCTAACCTAGTCTTTCTTTAGTGCTAAGCTCGTCTGAGAAGGCTCGAGTGGCGCACCTGGCCTGAAAAGTCCAGGAAGAATGAGCGACACTAGTGACAGTGACACCGCCCCTAACGGGACGGTAAGCATCACGACCGTGATCGCGCCAAAACGCACGAGTTCCCCCAGATATTCTGGTCAAATGGACCAAGAAAATTGGGAAATACCAACGCGACCTGAATATGGAATGTGTTAGTACAGTATAAGGCATGACTACGCTACTGCGTTGCCGTCCATCCACTCTCTGGCTGAGCCTGCATAACATATTGATGTTATGGTTCGCTCTAGCTGGTCCGTCACAATGGATGAAGCGAATGACGAATTCATCTTGTGAAAGATGAAGGTGATCATGTCAAAGCCCTTGAACAATGCGATTCCGAACGCTGGAAATACGCTCGAGAAATTTTGATGGAACATGTCCGAAAAGAAATTTCCTGGCGCGTGGTCAATTCCCTAATAGAAGATTCTAACCTCATGGAAGTTAATAGACCACGAACCTTGAGACATAGTTCTTCACCAAACTTCGAATGTTTTACAATTTGACGAAGCAATATTGTCATTGATTTTGTCAAAAGGATGTGATGTAGTCAAACGTAAAAAACACAGGCATTAGAGAAGTTCTCACCACTGAATAAAGGAGGATGTAACATCA